GAGAGCACATGAGAGGGGGGGAGGGTCAGAGGGAGAGGCAGGCTCCCCGCCGAGCAGGGAGCCTGATGCGGGACTCGATCCCGGGACTCCAGGATCATGGCCTGAGCCGAAGGCAGTCGCTTAACCAACTGAGCCACCCAGGCGCCCACTCTTACTTTTCTTTGATTAGTTGTCGGTATGGTGTATCTTCTCCATGTGTATACTCTTTATCTGCATGTATCTTTATGTTTAAAGTGGGTTACTTGTAGGCAACACATAGCTGGGTCTTGTGTTTGATCTGCTCTGATGATCTCTGTCATTTAAATGGTGCATTTAGACCATTAACGTTCAAAGTGATTATTGATATACTGGATTATCTACCGTATTTGTTACTGTGTTCTGTTTGTTGCTCTTGTCCTTTGTTCTTCTGTTTGTCTTTGACTCTTTTTGGTCGTTTTTTATGGTTTTAATTGAGCATGTTGTAGGATTCCAGTTTTCTTCTTTCTTGGCGTATCAGTTATACCAATGTTTTTACTGTTTTTGGTGGCTGCCCTGCCATTGGCAGTGTACATTTACAACTAATCCAAGTCCACCTTCAGATAACACTGCACCACTTCATGAGTTGTGTGGATACATTGAAAGAGCAAAATAATCTTCATTCCTTCCCTTGTCCTTGTGTCATTGCTGTCTTTTGTCTCACTGATAGGAACAAGCTTACGAACATGTGTGTATAGAAGCCTACAGTCACATGCATCGCTGCTCCTGTCACTGGGAACAAACTGTTACTTGTTAGATCGGTTAAGAGTAAGAAAGAAGTTTTGATTTTACCTTCACTTTATTCCTTCTTCAGTTCTTTTCCTTCCTTTATGTAGATCCAAGTTACTGACCCAAATCTCTCTCACTCTCTCATTTCTTGTGAGGCAGGTCTGTCGGCAACCAAGTCCATTAATTTTCGTTTGTCGGAAAAGTCTTATTTCTCCTTTACTTTGGAAGGATACTTCCGCAGAGCACAGAGTTGTGTGTTGCTGATGTTTTTCTCCCACCACCATAAATACTTCATTCCACTCTCTCCTTGCTGGCACGGTGTCTGAGCAAGAGTTGGATTTGATTCTCATCTTTGTTTCTCTGTAGGTAAAGTGCTCTTTTTCCCGTGGCTTCTTTCAGGATTTTTCCTTTATCTTTGCTTTTCTGTCATTGGAAAATGACAGGCCTAGGTATCCTTTCTTGGCATGTAGCCCGCTTAGTGTCCTCTGACCATCCTGCATCTGTGGTTTGATGTCAGAGTTCAGTTTGGGGAAATTCTCATCGTTTTCGTATTTTTCTTCTATTCCTCTGTTTTCTCCTTCTGGCAAGCCCACTGTGCTTCTGTTACACCTTTATAGCATAATTGTCCCACAGTCTGTTGTTTTTTCCCAGTCTTGGTTCTCCTTGGTTTTGGGTTTTCAAGCTTTTCATTGCTGTATCCTCTGGCTCGGGGGTTCTTAACCACATTGGCCTGCTCGTGAACCCGTCCGAGCCATTCTGGGCTGTCTGCATTTCTGTTAGTGGTTTGATCTCTTGTATTTCTTTCTGGTTCTTTCTTAGGATTTCTGTCTCGCTGCTTTCATTGTCCATCTGTCCTTGCATGCTGTCTGCTTTATCCGTTGCAGCCCTTAGCGTATTCATCACAGTTGTTTTAAATTCCTGGTCTTGTGGTTCCAGCACCCCTGCCTATCTGGTTCTGGTCCTTGCTCTGGAACCCTCAGACTGTGTTTTTGCCTTTCAGGTGCCTTGCAAGTGTCCCCTCACTAGGAGGATGTGACGTACCAGTTAGGAGTAGGTGCCAAAAATAGGCCTTCAGGAGTGTGGTGGTGAGGTGTGTGAGCAGGGGAGGCGTGCGCTTGTCCGGTGAGGAGGTCTCAGGTCTTTACTGAGCCCGTGCCTCGGACTGGGAACTCCCCAAGTGCCTCTCAGTTTCTTTCCTCCTCTTCGTCGGTGGACCAGCCTGCCCAGAGGGAGCGGGAGTTGGGCATTGCACTTCTGTGGGTCAGTTTGGCTCTGTTACTGCTCCAGCACGCCGTGGGCTCTGGTTAGCTACTTTCCCCGGAGGGAATAGAACGCTCAGGCGCTTTTCAGAATGGTTCCTCCTCCCCTCCCCTGCCCCTGCCAGAAGCACGAGGGGATTTTTCTGTGATATTTACTGTGGGAATGCGTTTGAGCCCCTCGCGTAAGTCTCATGGCACGGTGGGGCCCCTGGAGTGTTCCACTCTGAGTGTGGCTGCCCTGAGCCTCCAGCAGTCCGTCCAGTTCAGGTTTTCCTGGCAGTGTCTGCTCGTGAGCCTCTGCTTCTGGAAGTGTGGCTCCTGTATTCACTTGTCTGTCTTTATTTTGGGGCCAGCACTTTGACCTGTGTGTGATCCAAGAAGAGTTGTTGACTTTCAATCTGTTCAGTTTTTCTACTTGTTGGGACAGACTTGTGACTTCCAAGTCCCTTGTATGCCAGACCAGAACTCAAAAAGTCCCTTCTGTTATTTATTGCCATGTATTTTAATATCAGGTTTAATGAGATAAAATCACATTCAATAAAATGACTACCTTTTAGCTGGACAGTTAGAGAGGAGTTTCAGCTAATGCAGAGACCTGTCTAACCACCGCCATACTTGGGACAGATGAGGTGTCTGTCACTCCAAAGCTCTCTCCTGCTCACTTGCTGTCAGTCCTCTTGTAATCTTTGGCCCTAGGCAGCTACTCTCATCACCATAGGTTGATTTTTGCCTTCTTAAGAATCTCCTAGAAGTGGAATCCTACAGTACGTGCTCTTCTGACGCCTGCTTTTGCTGAGTGTGATGTCTTTGAGACCTGTCCGTATTGTGTGTAGCAGGAGACAGCCCCCTTTTGTTGCCGACAAGTATTCCATTGTATGAACGTACCGCACTAGTCATTCAGTCGTCGAGGCATCTGTTGGCTGCTTTTGGTTTTTGACAGTTCTGAATCAAGCTTCTCTCAATGTGTGTATGTAGGTCTTTGTATGCACTTGTGTTTTCATATCTGAGTAAGGATCTGGCATCCCATTGCCAGGTGGTGTGCCAAGTGCATTTCACGGTGTAAGGAAGGGTCGCAGTGGTCATGCCATCTTACACCTGCCCCCATGCTGTGTGAGGGAGCCAGCTCTCGGCTCGTGCTTCCTGAGGACTTGATCCTGTCATTGGGTTTTGGCCGCTAGTGGCCTGTGGTAGGAGGCATACTGTGCTTTCAGCTTGTTCGCCGAACAACTGATGATGGAGGGAGGTGACCATCTCTTGCTGTCTTTGTTGGCCATTTGTGTGTCTTTTCTTTCCTGTTTTTATTCAGCCTTCTCTTCAAATCTTTTGCACAAGAGTTCTTCTATGTATTCTGGGTGCGAGTCATCGGTTAGATGAGTGTTTGCAGAAATCTCACCCCCCCTTTCCATCTCCTGCTGTTTTATTCTGTAATGGTTTATTTTGAAGAGCTGAGGTTTTCTGTTTTAATGGAGTCCAGTTTCTGTATCTAAGTCCCTGCTTGCTCTCGGAGATCTTTACTCCAAGGTCATGGAGACTGTCTCCTATTTGATTGTCCATGTTTACAGCAGCTAGGTAGACTGAGGATAGTCTGGGTTACTTGTGGTCAAGTTGAATGGTACTCAGTAGGTGCTTATGAAACCGAAATCGGTGTAAAAAGTGGTCTTTTTTTTTTTTTTTTTTTTCCTTCATTTCAGATCAACAGGAGGCCCTTCAGGTCGGAGTGGACATCGGATGGTAGCCTGGAAGAGACAGTTAATCCTTTTTGGTGGCTTCCATGAGAGTACAAGGTTGGTACCAATAGCAGGACATCTTTCTTTCCTGGAACAGTAAGGAGTGGAGTTTTTGTGGGAAGAACCATTCTGAATACACATGGAAAACACTACCCATCCCTAAAACCAGAGCCAGCTTTGTGGATATGCAGCTGAGGCAACCCCACAGGACCCCCATGCTCTGCTGTCAGTGTCTTAAAATTCTTAATAGTTATTGAATAATGGGCTCTGCATTTTTATTTTACACTGAGACCTGCAAATGATATGGCCAGTCCTATGTAACACAGGATTCTCCACCGTTAGCCTGGTACAGCATCCCCCGGAGGGCTTGTTAAAAGTCTGGTTGCCGGGCCCCACCCTCTGGTTTCTGACTCAATGGGCTTGGGGCGGGATCTGAGAATCTGCATTTCTGCAAACTTGCAGGTGATGCTGCTGTTGCTGGCCAGGGGACCCCACTCTGAGAGCCTCTGGCCTAAAATAACTTTGAACTTCTCAGTGTTGGGGAACGCAGCGAGAGCAGTGATGTCTGAAGAGGGGCCTCCCGTGTGCCCGTGTGTGGCCACATTGGTACGAGCTGCCGTGATCGTGTGTTCTGTGTGTGCTCACGCCAGGCCAGGCTCGCTGGCTCTCTGGTTGTTGGGAGCCTGTCGTCCACACCATACCCTCTTGAAGGTCCTGAGTTCAGTCCCAAGAAACAGCACATGTGGTGACAGGTCTGTGTTCCTGTCATCATCGTCATGCAGTGCTGGGTTGTGTAATGCGGCAAGGCTGTCCTGCCTGGCGAAGGCCCATGTGTTGTGCTTTGCCCCTGACCAGGCCCTACGTGGAGGAGGGTGGGCACGTGTCTCTCCCAGTGGCCGTATTCTAGGCTTCCATCTCCTAACCCCTTAAGGAATAGCAGAGTCATCAATATACGAATGGTTGTGGTACCGCTCACATTTCTGTCACATGATTTTTTCTGATAATGACTGGTTCCTAAATCCGTCGTTGTACGTGGATGTGAAGGAGGAGGTCCGTGTTAGGAGTCTTGCTGTGTTTCATACCCCCCGTTACCCCGGTCTTCGTTGAGGTGTTGTGTAGATTTGGCTCAATTAAAGCTGCAGTTTGTCTTCATGAATTAAAGACGTTTTATTAATTGAGAAAAGGAGATATAAATTCTTTTTTTTTTTTTTTAAGATTTTATTTATTTGACAGAGAGAAAGACAGCCAGAGAGGGAACACAAGCAGGGGGAGCGGGAGAGGGAGAAGCAGGCTTCCCGCCGAGCAGGGAGCCCAGTGCGGGGCTCGATCCCAGGACCCCGGGACCATGACCTGAGCTGAAGGCAGACGCTCAACGACTGAGCCACCCAGGTGCCCGCCCCGGAGATATAAATTCTTAAATACCCTTGGAGGGGATTTTAAAAGCATAATTCAGTTCAACTTAAACAGGAGTGATTTTTGTGTCCTTAAAGCTGTAACATGGGTGTACTGATGCTTTAATGTTGAGTCTCAAAGACCGTCCCGTTGGTAGAACAGGTTGTGGTCCCACGTCATAGATGAGGACACCAGGCTCACCAGTGCCCAGAGCAGCATGACCTCCACAGAAAATTGCTCCTTTTCGGGCAGCCCGCCCTCCCGCCCTGCAGGCGCACGCGGGTTATTGCCGTATCGGATGAGAGAGCCCCGGCTGTTTGTAGAAGTTTATACCTGAGGGATTGTCATTTATTATTTATTCTGGGCACTTTTTAAAAAAAACTAGGGGGTGCCTGGGTGGCTCAGTTGGTTAAGCGACTGCCTTCGGCTCAGGTCATGATCCTGGAGTCCCGGGATCGAGTCCCACATCGGGCTCCCTGCTCAGCGGGGAGTCTGCTTCTCCCTCTGACCCTCCCCCCCTCTCATGTGCTCTCTCTCTCTCTCTCTCTCAAATAAATAAATAAAATCTTTAAAAAAAAAAAAACAAAAAACTAGGAATTATTTGTCACACACACGGGGATTCGTGAGTGTGTTGGTACATTAATTCACCGCTTATGTGCAAGATGGTGGGACCAACGCAGGCCTTCCCCTGGGAGCTCACAGGTTAGAAAGTGGATCATGGTTTATAATGGTTGTAATCTGCAACTTTTTCAAAATCCGAACTGTTTTCAAAACTATTATCATCTGTTATCTTGCTTAAAGTTATTGTTTATAAAGTATTAAAACACGTAGGAAAACACAGTACTAGTAAAGCTACCTGTGTGGTCACCTTCCATATGAAACAAGTTAGTTTGACTTGTAAAAACCAAAGAACTTGATATTTATGTGTAGAACAGCATTTTTTTTTTTAAAGATTTTATTTATTTGAGAGAGAGAAAGCAAGCACGAGCAGGGGCAGAGAGAGAAGCAGGCTCCCCATTGAGCAGGGAGCCCGACGTGGGGCCCCATCCCAAGACAGTGGGATCATGACCTGAGCCGAAGGCAGATGCCCAACCAACTGAGCCACTAGGCGTCCCTAGAATAGAGTTTTTTTACTAAAAATCTGCAGGGTGAAATCTGAGGAAACAGTAGAATCTAGCGATGCCTTCTCAGAAGTCTTGAGCATTCGTGTTCTCCGTTCACGTATGAAAAGCCATCCTACAGAAGGTGCGTTTCCGTGGGTGCCAGTCAGGAGGGGCACCTGCCAGGTGGCGGCCTGTGCCCCGGGCTGTGTGCGGCAGGGGACCCCGGCCTCTGGCCCGCGTTCCTCTCCTGGCGGCCCTTCCACACACTGGCTGCGGGGCGCCCCACTCGGGCTCAGACTGTGGGATGGCTTCTCACTTCAGGCCTGGCTGCCTGTTCTGAATACATGGAGAGCACCTCTTATTCTTCTCATGTCATTCCGACCTGAGGCCCCTTGGCTTTGCCTGTGACTGTCCATGACGTTACATCAGAACACTGCATCCTCGAGCCGCTGTTTTCCCACGCACAGGCTCCTTCTCCAGGTCCCTTCTGCACTCGAGTCCTTGGCCACTTCAGTCCCAGGCGCACTAGGCAGGGCCCTCCTGCTGCTGCCGGGCTGCTGGGCCCCCGGGACGGGCCTCTAGGCATATTGGTTTCAGGAATGCTCAGCCCAGCTCAGGGTCTCCTCCCAGCCCTAGCCCAGCTCTAAGTGTCTGAGTATTCACCTGGCTCTGTAATTCATGAGCTAAAAATTTCACACGTGGAAACCTAATGTAACGATTTGCAAGATTGTGATTTTGTAAACTTTGTCAGGAAGTATGGTATAACTTTCAGCCTAAAAAGGCTTTCAGATCCAGGCAGATTACTGTATTCTTTAAGCTAGCATTATCTCTAGTTTCCAGATGCAAACTCACATATGCCCGCGGTCCCTTCATGTGGATTTAAACTTTTTTTTTTTTTTTAATTTGACAGAGACCCAGCGAGAGAGGGAACACAAGCAGGGGAGTGGGAGAGGGAGAAACAGGCTTCCTGAGGAGCAGGGAGCCCGATGTGGGGCTCGATCCCAGGACCCTGGGATCATGACCTGAGCCGAAGGCAGACGCTTAACAACTGAGCCACCCAGGCGCCCCATGTGGATTTAAACTTTAATGAAACCAATAACTTAACTACAAATGGCAGAAAATTTACCTTTAATTTGAATCAGGTTCACTTTTTAATGTTCCACCTCCTTGTTTGTGTCCCTGTGTTATAACCAGAGATTACATCTACTACAATGATGTGTATGCCTTTAACCTGGACACGTTCACTTGGAGCAGACTGTCCCCATCAGGGGCTGGGCCCGCACCTCGGTCAGGCTGCCAGATGTCCATCACCCCCCAGGGCAGCATTGTCATCTATGGGGGCTACTCGAAACAGGTGAGACGCGGCCGGCAGGGAACCAGGAGCTCCTCTCTGTTGCCTTTTTCACCAGGAATGGAAACTTCCAAATAGGATTGCGAATGGTTTAATAGAAACGCTTTCTGTTGAAGTAGAGATAGATGTAGTGTTCATCTGTTCCCCTGTGGATATATTAAGATTTTTTTCAGCCACATTAAGCCGTATTATGTCGTAACCCATATGGCCCGAACATGCTGCAGTGTGAATAATTCTGTATTGGGAGGAGTGTGCTCTTGATGCCTAAGCCACAGACACCAGGTACTACGTACAGTGTTTGATTATGGTAGAGGCCGCCGTCGCTGCGAGCAGCACAGACATGCTGGAGTGAGTGCTCCCGCACGCCTCTCTGGGGGTATGCACAGCGTGATGTGCTGGCTCTGGTGTGTGTCCCCCGCACAGGGTGCCCTGCACAGCGTCGGCAGCCCACAAGCAGCCCCTCACCAGCTTGCACGCGCCTGTGAGCCCCAGAGGGATGAGGTGGCATCTCACTGCAGGCTTTTTCTTAGCCTTCATAGTTTGAAAATTTCTCCAACATAGAGCGACTTAAAAAGACTTACAAGCACTTAACGTCCCCCCACCCAGACCCTTCTGTAGTTAGCGCTCTGTTGTCCACACTTCTTCATGTAGCTGTTCACATCTTTCTGGGCGTATTTCAGAGAAAAGTGCAGACATCGGTCACTCCCCCCTGAATACTAGAGCATGCATACCAGCATGTAGAGTTCAGCATTCAAGTGTTTTTTTTGTTTTTAACTTTATTTATTTTACATCCTCTCTGCACCCATCAGGGGGCTCAGACTCCTGACCCTGAGCTCAGGAGTCACATGCTTCTCCAGCTGAGCCAGCCAGACGCCCCTCAACGTTCCATTCTTAATGTACAGTTTCTCTGCAGTGACGTGCACACATTTTAAGTGTGTACCTGCTGGTTGTGACAGATGTGTGTGTGTGGGTGCTTGGAAGCCCTCATCTGCCATGCCCTTCCCCCCACCTGGAGGCAGGTGCCGGTCTCTGCTTTGTCTCACCTTGTCCTCGACATGCTTGTTCTAGGACTTGTGACAGATGTGCTCGGTGGAGGAAGACGTCCTTCTGAGATCTGACCACGTTGCACGTTTTAGTTGCTTGCTGCTTCGTGCCAAGCAGTATTCCACTGTGACACACAGTTTCTCAGTTCTTTATTGGTGGACACCAGGCTGTTTCCAGTTTTTGACCATTATGAACAAAGCTGCTGTGAGTTTCTTGTGCAGGTCACTGTGTGGCTCTACCTTCTGGTTTCTTGGGCAGATACCCAGGAGCAGGACTGCTTGGGTCACAGGGTGGAGCGTGTTGCAGCCCTTCCCGCACTGGTTGCCCACACCCTTGCCAACCCTTGATGCCGCTAGTCTTTTTTCTTTTTTTTTTTTTTAAGATTTTATTTTTTGACAGAGACACAGCGAGAGAGGGAACACAGGCAGGGGCAGTGGGAGAGGGAGAAGCAGGCTTCCTGCTGAGCAGAGAGCCCGATGCGGGGCTCGATCCCAGGACCCCGGGATCATGACCTGAGCCAAAGGCAGACGCTCAACGACTGAGCCACCCAGGCGCCCCCCACCAGTCTTTTTTATTCTCGGCCATTCTGGCGGATGTGTGGTGTCTCATTGTGGTTTTAAATGTCATTTCCCACATATGGAATGGGCCCTTTGACTTGGGGGGCCGAGCAGGTCGCCTCTTGGTGGTTGGGATGAAGCAGGCAAGGAGTCCGTCCTGCACTGGGGGAGTGTCCCGCTTCCGCCTTCTTCCCACCCCTCTCACCCTAGTGAGTCATGGCCCTACCGCTCAGGAAGTGGTCAGCCTTTGTTCTGGAAAGAGGATATTGGTTTTCTGGCCTTAGCTAGATGTTTGATAGATGGGAGGGCCCGAGAAACAGGTTGCTTTGGCCACAAGCTTGTGCCCACATCTTGTGCTTCATAGAGTGAACCGGACGGGATACAGAAGGGAACCTTGTGACGCTCACGCGACTTTAAAGAGGATATTTAATCAAAATAGTGCCTCCTTCTCAACAACTGCTCTTCTCCAACTAGGAACACTGGCTAGGGGTGTGGACAAGCTGAATCCACTTCACTCAGTGACCACTTGCTCCAGGCCTTTGGCGTTTGAATCACAGTGAAGAGCTTGTCTGTTTGGATCCATGGGGGATTTATCCCAATCAGGGGAAGATGGGAGTTAGGGCTGCTATGGGATATTAGGGTGTTAGTCTAAGTGGGTGACGGGCTGCCTGAGTCCTTACTGGAACACACTTCACAGTCCTGCAGCCTGGACTGGCGGAGTGCTGCTTCCTGCCCGGTGTCCCCGCCCAGGGCAGGCATGGTCGGGCACCATGGCAGTGAGCTGACAGCTGCCAAACACGGCATCGAGTGCAGATGCCCTGGAAGTGGCCGGGGGCGGCCTGCAGAGCAGGGTCTGAACTTGTGAGGTGTGGGAGAGACGGCCTGTTGGTGGTTTCGTGTATCACAGATGGTCCACCTGGGCACCTCAGCTGTCCCGGGCCGGGTGTTGAAAGTTTGCTGCTGTTGTGAATCCAGGGAACCAGGATGAAGTTTTGCTAACTTTATAAAAGGACCTCCCATTGCCAAGATGCTCAGGTGGCTGGTTGGCAATGCTGGCTGCTTCGAGAGAGGGGGCAGGGCCGTCTGCACCTGTTGGACTCGTGAGCCCGGCATTCATGGCTTGGCTTACAGTAGTTCCTCTTTGCCTTTGGGGAGGACGTCTCATGCACACGGGGTAGTTTCTGTGGGTGGTTCCGTGCTGGTTCTCAGCCATCAGGACAGGAGCGACAAGGCCGTGGGCCTCCCTGCCCTGCCCTGCCCCGCCCCATCCCCTCCCCAGGAGCTGCGGAGCACCTTCTCCCAGTGGCGTGTGGCGTCTTCCTTTGTCCCCGCAGGCCCTGGTGGGGATCTGCTGAGGACGGTGCTTTCACTGGCCCTGGGAACATGGGTTCCTTGAAGGTGCTTCTTCCACACGGTCCTTTTCACTTTTGACTCTCAACCAGGTTGCAGCCACTCTGTCTGGAACCTCTCCCTACCCTCTGGGGACAAACTGGGGAAGGCCCCAGAGAGTGGACAGTTGACAAACAAAGGGTCCTCAGAGCGCAGCAGCGCAGGGCCCTTACTCGTCTCAGAGCCGTTGCCGCCCCTTGCTGGGGTCAGATTGTCCTGAAACTGGGGTGGCCCAGGAGGTTGAAGGGAGTCCATCTCCACATCTGAGGCCGAGGGAGCTAGAGCTGCTGATTCAGAGCCGAGTGCAGAGTATGAGTGCAGTGGGAGGAGGTGCCTGGGTCTCAGTCACACTCTCAGTCACTTTGGAGATAGTTGTGTTGTTTTTCAGTGTAACGTTGTAACGCTTGATACACGTCTCTGTCGAAAGTGTCTTTGGGTTCCATGGATTCCATTAGTACTGCAGTGGACAGAAACGAGTGAGCGGGGGAATACATTCTTTGTAAAATGCATCCAGTTTCAGCCTCTTACCCAAGTGCCCCTCCCCAGAGAGAGGCTGAGACGCTGTACGGGACGTCACACTGCCGAGGTGGGAAGTGGACGTGTCCCAAGGCTTGTGCAGACTTGCTTCCTCCGCCGGGCCCGTTGAATCCCGTGGGCGCCTGGCCGTGCCCGTTAGGAGCAGCAGCACGACAACAGCGTTACACAGGGCAGCTCCCTGTGGGTCCCTGTGAGGACTGCAGACTGGATTTTGGGCACGTCCCTGCACTTCAAGAAAAGTAACTGCTATACAGGAGGAGTTAGTGAGCTGGTGGGGTGGGGAGCCCCGGCACCAGTGGGCTCTGGTCCGAAGGGCTGCCCGTCCCCGTCCAGCCAGAGCCCTGGCCCACGCGCCAGCCGGCACGAGGCTGTGGCCCCGGGCTTGTGGCATCGCCCTTCTCGGGAAGCCTTCTGGCTCGTGGGCCTTGGGAGGAGGTGTTTAATTGGTACGGCATAGAAGAGCCCCCTGAACTAGCAGGCTCTGGCCACTGCCGCAGCTCGCGGGTCAGCGGGTGCAGCAACGCGGGGGTGCGGCTCCGCTGTAACTTGCGTCTCTAGCAACAGAGCGGTCACTGAACTCGTTCCAGGTCCCCTTGGCGGGCAGGGCCTCTGGCTGTGAATGCAGTTCCTGCACGTGCCAGGCCTTTTGGGGTGGAAGGGTAGCCCCTCCCGCTGTGCAAACATCTTGTCTGAATAATGTGCAGGCATTGCCTCACTTGAATCCTGCAGATGTGTCCGGAAGGAAAACCAGAGAGGCGCCCCCAGTTTTCATTTCCGGAGATGCAGGCCATTCCCCACTCAGGGCCGATCCTGAACCTCCTGGGCCTTAGGATAGTCAGGTCACATGTCCAGTCTGTGGACAGTGGGATTGTGGCTTTGTTTTCCAAGAGGAGACCAGCTTCTCCCCCCTGTAGTGAACGCACACCTGTGTTTGAGAGGAAAGGAAGTATGCGTCCATATTTCCTGATCCTGCCTTGCATTTGGGGGTGGGGGGGGTAGAAGTAACCGCAGCAGCGAGCACTCCTGGTGCCCAGATCGCGGTTTCTAACCATGTCCAGTGAGAGGACCTGGGGCTCCTCGGGGAAATGGCAGATTCCGGGCCTGGGTCAAGAAACGTACGGGATGAGGCTGGAGGATCTTGTGGTGCCCCAACCTCAGGGTGTGCTTATAGGAAACCCACATGACGGGCTGTGTCAGACGGACACAGGAGCCACCAGAAGGGTTTCCAGTGGCCACAGCTGGAACTGTTTTAGCAACAAAGTAAGTAAAGTGGATAGGATTACAGCCCAGAGTAGAACATAAAAATCTGTGAGTCCATTTGATTATAAGCAAATGATTGAATGAGTAAATAAATCAGGGGAAAGGGACAAATCCCTATGCAGAATTCCACAGAAATCATGTGGCCAACTCCGCCCTTGAGGGCTGGAGTCTGACTTCCGTCTCCGCAAGCGGGGCTGTGCACAGTGATGTCCTTCCCCAGAGGACTGTGGAAAGCTGTAGACTCGGAGGGGGCAGAGGTGACAGCCAGGTGACCAGGATCAGCAGCAGTGGTAAGTCTTGGCGCCAGCGTGCACCCCTGGTGTGCTGCAAGGGAAGGGCACCTTACCTGTGGGGCCCACGGCCCCAGCAGTGCTGAGAGAAGCGTCAGACAAATCTCAGGGGAGACCCAAGATGCAGCACAGCTGAGCAGCGACTTCTCCGCTCCTGAGGGTCGTCAGAGATGGGGAGTCTGGGCCAGTGCAGCTGACGTGACGCGGAGGACTCAGGGCTGAGAAACCTTGGTTTCATTGCTGGCGACGCTCAGAAGAGGTTTTTTTTGTTTTTTTTTAAATATTTTTAATTATTTATTTGACAGAGAGAGACACAGCGAGAGAGGGAACACAAGCAGGGGGAGTGGGAGAGGGAGAAGCAGGCTTCCCGCGGAGCAGGGAGCCCGATGCGGGGCTCGATCCCAGGACCCTGGGACCATGACCCGAGCTGAAGGCAGATGCTTAACGACTGAGCCACCCAGGCGCCCCTCAGAAGAGTTTTTAAGTGGTAGCAGCACCTGGCTGGCTTGGGCAGCAAGTGTGAATGTGATTCTTGCAGGGAAGTCTGAGCACATGAATTGAAAGATGATGGGGTTGGGGACACACGGGAACTGCGATGGAACTTCATGATGGCCTCGGGGGAGGGCCCCTCCACCTGGAACAGGGTCACTGCAGAGCCTTGGGAGCTCACGACAGTTCTTGTTAGAATGGTGAATTCTTAACATTCAAAATCTATTCTTGGTTAATAAATCGTACTAACATTTTTTATTACATCTGCTCAATGAGGTCAGAATTGAACGGGTCGTAGTTCCGATTTTCTTTGAGGCTCATCCGAACGAAGGCTCCCAGGGTGCCCCCCACCCCCCTGCACCCCAGTAGGGAGGCAGACCACAAGCTTGAGGGGGCTGGGCGGGGTGTTGTAGGTGGCACCTGGCCAGTTCTCACGACTCCCTGTTCCTTTTGCAGAGAGTCAAGAAAGATGTGGACAGAGGCACCCAGCATTCAGATATGTTCCTGTTGCAGCCTGAGGACGGAAGAGAAGGTACATGCACTGGGTCATGGGAGTGGGCCACGGGCTCCTACGGGAAGCAGGGCAGGGACCCGAGAGCCCTCCTGCTCTGTGGATTGGGGGCTGGGGGAAGGGAGGGTGGCGGCGAACCTCTGCACACTGTGCTGGAGTCATGGGCAAGTCCTCACCGGAGCAGGCAGGCCAGGTGCTCATGAATAACCCTAAGTGTCTGCACAGCAGGGACAGCCGAGGAGTGCTCACCCTCGGGTGTTTGGGACGGCGACCTCAGAGCGAGTGGAAGCCACTGTTTGTCAGCTGTTCCCTGACTTGTTCCCACTCGAGCAAGTGGCTGCTAGGATGTGAGATTTGGGCATGGTTCTTGTGGGTCAGCGGCCCCCCGTTTGCTTTCTGAAGCTCAGAAAGTCAGGTGGTGGCCTGTGAGACTTGGGATGAGCAGGCTGGGCTAGACTCAGGTGATCCAATCTGGTCCTGGGTCTGCTTTGGGACCCGCAGCAAGCCTCTCACCCGCCCCGTGAGGCTGTAAGCTGTAGAATGATGGGGCTGCTGCACACAGCACCTTCCGTCTCTCCCACCCTAACCTCCGTGAAGCCGGGCACTTTTCAGGAAGTCAGCCAGGCTGCCCTGCAGTGACCGATGAGGACATCTGCCTTTTCCTCAGTGGGCACCAAGGTTTGGAGTCCAGGAGAAAGCTGCCTGGTGTGCACATCAGGGAGCCAGAGCTGGAACCGGACCCTGAGCCCGTGTGCTCAACCTGTGCACCCGGGCATCAGGCCCTCGACCGCCAGCAAGAAGCACGCGGTGTGCTGTGAGCTAGGGCACTCTGATGTTTTTCCTTCTCTGTTTCTGTACCACGTTAACATGCTGGCTGTGAGGAGTAGTCCTCGTGGCCCAGTACTGGGTGCCCCCCGGAGTCACAGCTGTGCTGTGTGCTGATGAACAACAGGTGGGCACGACATGGTACGGCGTTGGCCATTTGTTGCTTCTGTTTAGTTTTCCTTAAACGTTCAATAAAAGGACAGTCTCGGTTCTTTTTTCTAGATGTGGTGGGAAGATATCCCCCATGCTTCACACTAGGTCACGTTTTGAGCGTTACCACGTTCATCAGGCACATGCCAAGAGAGCGAGAGCGAGCATGTTGCCTGCGGGAGAGTCTGCGGTTCTGAGCAGTGGGCGAGTGCGCACAGCCCGCACGGAGCAGCTCTCTCGGTCCCCCGGCCCCCCTGCGGGGCCTGGCGCGGCGTGAGGCCCTCCCAGCACTGCGGCCTGCCCGCCTCGCTCTCCGCCCGGCCTCAGAGCCGCCCCTGGGGCGTGGTTGGCCCAGGGGCTGTCTGGAGGGCATGTGGAAACGTTACTTAGTGCACGCAGGACCTTCAGGAGCAGGATGAAACTCTGGGGCGTGTTGAACTGTGTTTTGTTTCTGCAGAGGGCTCAGAATGCCTGAACTTGGTACCCTTTTACCTGCAGTCTTGCGTTTCCGCTTGTCCCATTCACTGGGGTCGGTGATCCTGGGTGATCCTGCGGCCGGCAAACTCTTACCCTGTGTTCCCTCTCCTCCAGCAGGCAGGTGGGCCTGGACCCGGATTAATCCTGCAGGAGCCAAGCCCACTCCGAGGTCTGGCTTTTCGGTGGCTGTGACCCCGAACCATCAGACACTGCTCTTCGGGGGTGTGTGTGACGAGGAAGAGGAGGAGAGCCTGGAGGGGGACTTCCTCAACGACCTGCATTTCTATGATGCCGCCAGGAACCGCTGGTTTGCGGGGCAGCTGAAGGTAGAGCCGGGCCCCGAAGTGTGCACCCCGATGCAGGGCTGCACCTGCTTTCCTTCTGCCACGTCAGCCAGTTCTTCCAGCGAGGCTTCAAGCTGCCCCGGGCCTCCCCAGTCCCTGTGTGTGTGGGGCCCGTGGGAGCTTTCGGCGTCTTTATTGTCGTCGTGGGCAGGGACGCCCACGTCCCTCCACTCCACAGCGGCACCATGGGTGGCCGTCCCAGCAGCGGGGCCCCCCTGGGGCTTCAGGTCTAGAGGAGTTGATGGGGTCAGCGGCCCCGACGCCGAAGGAGGTGGCCCACTCTGGCGGAGACCCCACTCCGGCAGAGACCCCACTCCGGTTGCAGAGTCTCTGTGGGAAAACGGGTGGACGTGCGCCCAGTGTCTGGATGTGTGGCGCTCTCTGCCTTTTTCTCGGAGGGGTCACACGCAGGCAGAGGCTCTGTGCCCCCAGGGTGAACCGCAACAGGTGCTTCACCTGTGGCCCAGCCCCCTTGGGGCCCAGGGGTTCTGCCTGCTCACCGCTGTCTGCTGCTAAAATGCATGGCCTTGCTTCTTCTCAACAGGGACCTAAGTCAGAGAAGAAGAAACGTAGGAGGGGCCAAAAAGCAGAGCCCGAAGGTGCTAACAAGCGGGAGTGGGGGGGAGCCGGTGCCCAGCAGCCGCTGGAGGTGGTCAGAGAGGTGGTCACAGAGGACGGGACCGTGGTGACCATTAAACAGATGCTGGCTGCCCCGGGCTCGGCTGGACAGCCCCCATCCGACGAGGAGGACAGCCCTGATGAAGCCGGCGGCGCTGTGGTGGAGCCGAGCCCCCGCTCGAACGCCATGCTGACCGTGAAGCACGGCCAGCTCTACCTGTACGGAGGCATGTTTGAGGCAGGTGACCGCCAGGTCACCCTCAGCGACCTGTACCGCCTAGATCTGCACAAGATGCAGGAGTGGACGGCCTTGGTGGAGATGGATCCAGGTGAGCTGGGGTGGAGGTACGCTCCTCCTCAGGTTGGGGCGGGAACCCCAGCAAAGCGTCTCTGTCACATCTGCCTGCAAGCAGGCGCCCCCTCAGATCTGCCCTGTGCCACTGAGCCCGCGGTTGGCAAGGGGCCGCATCCTCTGTGCGTCCATCCCTGCTCTGGGAGCGGAGGGGGGTGGGCTGCCTCCTCGAGCACTCCCGATGAGCCTCAGACCCGTCTTCCTGCTGCTCACCAGGGGCCTTGTACAGAACAGATCTCACAGAGCCCCTCGTCCGGGGACAGCCGCCTCTGAGCACGTGAGGGGAGCTGGCCCAGGACCTGGGGGCACCTCCAGGCCTCCTCTGCTCTGGTCCAGACTGCTCCGTCCCTCGCCTCCATGTCCTGCCCTGGCAGCTGCTGGACACAAGCCACTGCTCCTTTCTTTAAGCCCAGAGACTAGAAACAAAGTTAAAATCCACACTTGGGGAAAGTTCCTCTGTGGCCAGTGCGAGACTCCTGTCTTCCAACGAGACCAGGCTAGAGCTGGGGAGCAGGAGAGAACTCTTTATGGGTCTTGTGTCTTCGCCCGTCAGTCTCCTTCACCCCACCTCTGCTCGGAGACCGAGAGAAAATGCGTTTCCTCTGAGCGTGCGGTGGTGCCGGGGCTCGGGCCGCTTCCACACCGGGAGTCTTGTGAGGGGGCTGCCCCACCGCGCTGAAGCTTGGAATGTGCACTTTTGCTTTAAAGGAACTCAGGAGTGGCTGGAGGAGACGGACTCCGAAGAGGACAGTGATGAGGATGAGGGTGCCGAGGGCGGGGACGAGGACGAGGACAGCGGCGGGGAGGCTGGGGGTGAGTGTGGTGCACGTGCCGGTGAGGGGTGCCAGGAGACCTAGAGTTTGGGGGTCAGTTGGCTCCCAAAGTCCTAATTTTTACTGGTAATGAGAGACTTTATTGCTTTACTGAAGTTTTATTAAAATTTGGCTTTGCTTTGTAGATGTGCTCTCAAGGCAAGCTTAAGTTTTTGAAAGAACATTCGTACGTGGAGTGCATTTGAGCGGCGCCGTGTTGGTTTCTTGGATGGAGTGAAGAATGCCCTCGCCATGTGATTTCTTTAAATTCGGTGCCCGTGATCGCCCCATCAGGCGGTGAGCGGGTGGCCTCTGGAGCTGCCAGACCCAGGCCGCCGTCCTGGGCTCAACTTGCTTCCTTCCCGCCCCCTCCTTCCCCACGGAGCAGCTCCCGCACGCACGGTGCTGCCCGCCGAGCGGCTTGCGGACGGCCTGCTCAGGCCCCACCAGTGTCGGGTAGAGCTCACCCTGGACAACGTGGGGCCCCACGCCGGGAAGAGAGCAGCCCACGCCGTGGCAGACGCTTTGTGCGACGACTTGGCCTGAGCACTGTCCCCCCGCCCCCAGAAGTTGACCTGTGTGAGGTGCAGTTGCCTTCCCTCAGTATCACTGGGTGTGATTTAAAATAAAGCGGCTTTGGGACGCAGCCGCAGCGAGGTGGTGATCTGTGCGGCCCCGCTTGCCCTGGTGGTGTTGGCGGGGCCCCGTGCTGGGGCGAGGCCCCCCCCGCTGCAGGCGGCACCTGGAAGACGAGGTGGCACGCGGGTGCTTTGTGGGCGGTTTCCCTTTGGCCAGACAAGAAGCCGCATTCCTGGTTGATGGTACTTTGTCGGCCTGGAGGTCTCAGCTCTGATTTCTAGAAGTTCTTGGTGGCAGCCTGCCGACCACCTTTACACGCTTTGTGTCTCTGCCGATCTTTGAAATAAAGTTCCTGTTGGCTGGGCGGTTCTGTGTGTTCTCTGCCGCTGGCTGTGCTCGGGGGCCTCTGAGTGAATGTCCCCGACGACTCAGAACTGCTCCACTAGCCTCTTTCAGGAAGAGATGCTAGAGCCCCTCTCTGCTCTTTCCCTTTCAGGCTCCAGGCTGTCATTGGCAGAGTGGCAGGAGGACGGGAAGCCTGAGGTCGGGGACCCCACTGTCTCCACATGGCGCTGCTGTCCAGCGCCCGTGGAGTGGGGGTCATCACGGTGGCAGCCTTGGTCCGTGCACATACCGAACGGTGCCCGCTCCAGGGTGCATGGCTGGGGTCAGCATTTGGGCCTTGAAGTCACACCTGGTACCTTTCTTCATCTTAAATACCTGCTACAATGAGAACGTGGTATTTCTAGTTTTTAGCAACAGGGCCAACATCCCATTTGTTCCCTCCCATAGGCCATCCGCATCATTGCCTGGATGCTAATAGACAGAGCAGGGCCTGGCCCGGGAAGGTGGTCATGGAAGAACAAGAGCTGACCTGCCCCAGAAACGGCCCCTCGCTCGCCCAGCCTTCTCACGCTGCTCAGCCCCCACCAGCTTCGACAGTGGGCCCTCAGCTGTCAGACTGGCAAGCCTCTGGAATGGAGCCTGGCAGGGGTGGGCTCTCAACAGCAGACTAGAACTAGGACCCTGTCCCCTGACGGTAGCCTGTCTGCCTGCCGGAGCCCCACTCTGGGGGCTGTGCCTGCGGGAGCTCCGGCATCAGAGAGAGGCCAGGCTGGGGCCCAGGCGGCACGGCACCCTTTCAGTCGACGTGGGCTGGGTTTGGTAGAAAAGCTGGGTGCTCGGTCTCCAGTGGCATGTTTGTGGCCGTTCGCTTGGATGCTGGGGCAGTCTGGGCCTTCCTCGGACACTCAGGGCGGAATCTCGCTGCAGGGTCCTCAGGCATGGCTGATGGGATGCCGTGGCTCGTTCCTGGGACCTTCCGGGTCCTCCCGGTGCCCGCTCTGCCCACTGCCGGGACGTGGCACTCAGCCCCAGCTGTGCGGTCCAGCGGTGCAGCTGCTTCAGGAGGAGCTGCTTGGAGGAGCTTGTTGGCTCCACCTCGGCTTTCTGTTGTCAGAGGCCGGAGCGTTACTGATTGTCTCTGTGACAGAGCAGGTCTGAGGGAAGAGGGTATTTGTTAATCAGCCAGGTTGAAAGAGAACTCACAAATCCCCTGAAGAAACTCCTTGTACAAACAAGTCTCTGTTTTGCTGTCATGTCCGTAGGGTTATTGCTAAAAAACTCAGTTTGAGTGGACCAACAAGAATAAATAAACAAGCTTCCAGAGAAGGAGCTGTCTCTGCTGCTTGATGCTGTGATTGAAACACCAGGATGGGCGCACCTTAGAGGCTCAGCAGGGGGAGAGGCAGCGGTGCGTTCTAGGATCGCGAGAGTCCGCCAGGAGCAGGACCAGCCCACCCACCCTGCAGTCTGTCGGTGACTCGTGTGCCCCACTGAATGTTCCAGACACCCTGATGGCCACCACAGGCATGAGTGGCCAGTACGAAGCCCAAGGCCTCCATTCCCTGCGTTGCTGGAACCAGAACAGCTGGATACAGCTGTATTCCGGGTCAGCGAGGGCCCTGCAATCGCACATCCTGTCTTGTCTGCTCCTTGGTTGGCTGAGTTCTTGGTAAGCCCCCGTACCACCGGCTGGGTTGTTGGTTCTGCCCCTTTCTCTTACGGTGCCCATCCCTTGGCCGTGCCCTCTCAGACACCAGCAGAGCTCCTTGGGGGGGGGGGGCGTTGAGTGTGAAGACTTCTGTACCCTCCCTGAGTCCCTGGGGCAGCTGAGCGGCTGTCTGGGTCATGCAGCAGGAAGATGGATTCCAAAGGGCTGGTCAGCAGTGGTAGATTTCTGGGGTTGGCTTGAATGGAACAATCATCCTTACCAGAGTGTTTCTCTGTTTGTCTCTAAAAGATAACAAGAGTGGTATTTATTGCCGTTTGACACGTTTTGGGTTCCTTACCAAGTTTTCCAGACAGGGAGTCGGTGGCTAGCTGACAGTAGAGACACACTGAGGGGCCAGAGGCTGGCCAGGGCCTGCCGGTGACAGATGGTGTCCTCCGGGCTGTTGCCTGGGGCTAGAGGGGCCCTCAGGCTGCCACCCAGGGGAGTTTAGGCACAAGCTTGGGTTCAGATCGGGTGACCCAAGTGAGGTTCACACTTGGGAACCAGCCCCCCCCATGTGTTTTGGGGTGAGGAAGAGGTGACACAGTGTTGACTGGGGGCTGGGGCGGGGCAGCTGCTTCCTCGGGCGGGGGTGGGGGGACGTGCCCCATTTCAGCTTGAGGGAGCATGAACTCCCATCTGCTGTCCACTGCTTACTTCCGTGAGCACTGAAGGAGCTTTCTGGTAACTACTGCTTCCCTGGGTGTTTTGAGCCAGCAAGCAGGCTGTGTGCAGGCCTCGGGTCACCAGAGGCCAGTGTTGTCTTGCCGGCCCACGTAGCCCCTGAGGATAGAGCAGAGGCGTCTTCGTTTCTGTTTTGCGAGAGAGCTTTGTCAGTGCTGGGTTCAGGCTGGGCCTGGCCACCCACTGGTGTCTGACCGTGGTGTCTGGTAGGAAGCTAAGGCGCCGAGCGGCGCAGCCAGGGGCCAAGGACATAAGCCATCGGGGTCTGAGGAGCCTCCACGGGCACAGCCAGTGCTGGGCCTGGTTTCCCGGTGCTGAGCAGGCGTGGGACCCTCTGGACCAGACCTGGTTGTGGAGCTGGGCAGCCGTGTGCCTGGAAAGGCCCAGGTGTGTCTGGGGGGGATCCTGAGATGGGAGAAACTCTCATCGGAAAGAAAGGCTGAGTAAGCTCCCCCATGAGAATCTTAAATCAAACTGGGTTTAGCACAGCAATGCTGTGAGGCCCCTGGGGCAGAGCCTGTGGGGTGTGGGGGGCTGCTGGGGCTGGCTTCGGGAGGAGGGGGTGTGCTTCGGGCTGGGCTCCCAGAGCCCTCCTGCCCAGGACCTAGGCTGCAGGGCTGCCGTCGGGGGAACACAGGCTCTGCCCCAAGAAGTAATTCCGTTTCTCCGTCTCAAAATTTTGGCATTAGGAGATTTCAGTGAAGACCCTGATCTGTAATGAGATGATGCAAGGGACCCAGAGTTTTCAAATGATGGTGTTTATTACTAAAAGGAGCAAAATTGTTTTAAATCTTGACAGTGTCCCTTGCTTTCAGATAGCGAAATACATCATAATGGTATGACTTAAAGTGTTACATTCATTAAGAAAAAGTATTTAAGTTTCACTTTGTAAGTAACCAAGCTATTTTTCCCAGCTAAAAGATAAAATGGCGAGGTAACATTTTTAGCCGCTTCATCAATAAGAAAAATCAAAACATAGTCAACATTCCCTTTTTGTCAATGCACAAACGATTGCACTGCATTGAAGTTTACATGCACCAGGAAACAAAGTGGGAAAAGAAAATGCAGATTGAGACCGATTCATGTTAGAATTCACAAAAAGGCATCTCTGTCAGGGTGAGTGGTCTCCGGTCTAGTGGAGGGCGAGTGTGCGCGTGCGCTCGCCTGAGCACTGAGGGCCGTGTCGGTTTTATTTCGATCAGGCTACAGCGGGGTGGTGGTTCTTTGGACATGGTGAATGGTGCAAATAAGCCGAGTCCGGCTGTCGGGTTTGGCTCCGTGCCCGGGGACCCCCCCACCCCACTGGCGTGAGCCGCAGAGTGCCCGGGCCGCGCACCGCCAGCGGGCGTAGGGCAGAGAGTGCAGGCCACGCTGCTCTGGTGGCGGCAGTGACCGTGCTGGGTAGGGCAGGGCCCCCTCGGGGCGGACGCCCCACCTCGTGCGCCCGAAGCCGGCCCAGCTGGCTCACCGGAGGGCAGCCCTCCCCCGACTCCTGCCCTTCGCAGGCGGGTGGTATGGGTGCCACTCGCTGAAGGGCACTTGGCTGCGAGGTGTGGGGTGCCCCGGGGACTGACCGTGTTTAGGGAGGGCGACCCCCTCAGGCGGCAGGCGTTCTGTTGGCCTCATGGTTGAACAGTGATGGAAAGGCCTTCCTCTGTGATGTGTGTCCTCACACGGGAAGCGCTGGGCGATGGTAACTCTGATCTTAAGGGACTTGAAATCTGATCTTCGTAGCAGGTGTGGAATGAATCGCCGGGGCAGCTGCTCCCAGCACGTGGAGGGAAGCGGGGACCCAGCCAACACCTGCCCTGCCGTCCCTCGGGGCCGCCTGCCCTTCGTGGGTTTGGGCTGCCACCGTGCCATGTCACCAGGCGGTGGGGGCACGGACGGGGAGGGTGTGCGCAGACGCAGCAGTGAGGTGTGTGACTGGGTCTTCGGCAGGTGGGAGCGGTGGGGGCCGACAGAAGTGAGGTAGGTATAAGGTGGCTGCTCTCTGCCCTCCCTGCTCTGCCGTCCCCCGAAGGCCCGGGCCCGGGCCGCGCACCCGGACTGGCCCCGGCCGGGCTGCCTGCTTCTCAGAAGTCGAGGAACAAGTTGGAACAACACGTGTTGGCCCTTCTGTGTCTCAGGCACCTCCGTGTTGGGGTTTCGTGCAGACGCAGACTGGGAAAGTGCCCTTTGTTCCTAGCTCGTGGGCTGCAGTTTTGGAGAAGGCGTAGGGTCCTCGGGGGTCTCCACTGTCCGGGCGCCACACGTGCTGGTGTCTCCTGTCTGCGGCTTTTCGCGGAGCCCAGCGTCTTCCCCATTCTCTCCCGCAGAGGCTCTCGGTGCCTGCGACCCTTGGTCTCCCGAGCTTTCAGACTAAATTACAGCGTCGTCTTTCTGTTGTTGAACAAGGGTAACTGCACTTTTTCTTGCTGTTTTTAAGGCTAAGTGACACTTCCCGGGAACGGATCTCAGGAACACTTGGGGACAGATCATTTTTCCAGTCTTTGCTTACAGTAGCATTGACACGTGGCCGGGCCTGGGCAGGGAACGAAACTAACAAGACAGCTCGAGTTTGCCGACAAGAGCGCACTTCACTCTTACGCCTTCCTTTTGTCTGGAATCCTGGTCCTGTGGCGTCACATTTATGCTTAAGTGACGTGAGCAAATCCTGTCCGAGGCAGGACATCATGAAAACATGAGCCATTGTCCGCTCTACTCAGGGCTGGCCGTGGATTGTAGGGCCCGGCAGCACATGCGGCTGTGGACATAGAGGCTTAAAATCTAGTAGGCACCTTTATGTTAAGTTTCTGAGACCAAAGGCAGGAAAAACTGGAAGACAAAACCCATAGGAGTTGAAGAAAGTGAGCTTCATCTAGAGCCGAGGTTGGCCCTCTCCTTTGTCTTGAGAGGTGTTGTCTTGTATCCTCCAGCGAGCACCTTCCCCTGGAGGAAGGCGCTGCTGGTGTCCGAGGCGTGTCCCCCCGTTGGTGCAAGTGAGACCTGCCTCAAGAGGGGACCCCAACACTGGTGCTGATTCAGGGGGGGGATCAAAAAAAGGTGGCCAAAAACCCAAACTAAAAAATGCGAGAAACACCACCACTTTATTTCCTTCATTCCCCCAGATGTTCATCCGCATCAAGCCTGTACCGTCTTGTATCTGCACTGGGCTTTCAGTAACATCCTTTGGTTTTAAGTGGGGTGGCCATATAATGGATCGTCCAAACTGGGACTCTCTTGAAAGGGAAAGGGAGCACTTTTAGGACCAGGATGTGGGGCTGCCCTGTTGGTGTGGGCATCAAACACGGGCCCCGAGGGGCAGCTGCAGGCTGCGGGGACCCACCCGTGTTCTTCCTACTTTGCTGGGGAGTCTGAGTTGTCGCAAACGGCAAGGAGCCCGTTATCCTACAGTGTGTGTGTCCGTGCACAGCCCGCGCAGTTGTTTCGACAAGACATGAGTGTATTGGCTGGTAAATGTGGTTGTGGACTTGTGGGGAGAGCGATTTTGGCAACGGGCGTCGAACTTCTGTGGCTCCCGGGAAGTTTTCTCCAGCGATGTCCTCTTCCTGTCAATTACTTAGGCTTGTATATTGCATCCCTGCTCTGTGTCTTTCGGAATCCCATGTGCTAATGATTAGCAAGCTTAAAAGTGTGGATAATTTTTCATGTGCTTGAAATTATCCAAGCACTTGACAGGCACTGAGCAAATTTCAGAAAGCACAAGTAGCCCGTCGTCTTAAGTTTCCTCACGTTTCTGGTAAATGCAACAGGTGCTCTGTGGGCACAGACGAGCTCACCTACTGACCCCAGAGGGCAGTGTCCTTTCCAGGTCTTTCAGGGTGAGGTGTGAGTGCAGGTTTCCCAGCCCGGGGAGGGCGGCAAGAGCTGGGCATGGAGCGGTGACTTGTTCGCCTCCCACCCCCCCCCCCCACCACGGGCGCGGGCTCAGGAGCTCCAGTCACTCAACTTCTCTGCCTCCGGCTTTCACAGCTAGAGCATGGAAGAAGCTGTCAGGGGAGAAAAGGGCTCTCGCGAGGTTGCTCTGGGAGTAAGTAAAGTGTCAACACTTTGTACCACGGGGGACAGCCCTGACACGCACGCCTGGGCTTCCTGATGTTCCCGTGGGGCCTGGTCTAGCTCCGCCTGCGCGCCCACCAGGAACACGCAGAGAGAAGCAGGTTAGCTGCCCTGGCCCCACAGGAGGACTGGCACCTGCCGGGGGAACCTGAGGCTCTGGGCCAGTAGGAAAGCCAGCCCGGCGGCCAGAAGCGCTCGTGCCTGCTGAGCGGCCTGCTCCCTGATCAGCGGGGAAACCAATGAACAGTCAGCTTCTAGAGGCTCTCAGACCCAGGACGTTGTATTCTTGGTGGAATCCACAGGGAATTCCCTGGGCGTGCAGGGAAAGGGCGGGCGATGTGTCACAGCTGTGGTGTCAGGGCCAGGTGCGTGATGGGATGCGAGCCCCTCATCATGAAACCACTCTTGCTTTCACGGGGCGGTGACTCGCGTTTCTCTGCGCTCCTCCCGGGGTGTGTGTGTGTGTGTGTGTGTGTGTAACCTGCAGCTCTAGGCCCCATTTTATGTCGTGCTGTTACCGGAATGTACAAAAGTCTGTCATCTTTACGAACAGTCACGAACAGAACTCTAAAACCCAGGCCCCAGCATGGAGGACTCTGAGCTGCAAGGAGGAGTCTTTATTTGGTTCACCTCAGATCTGCAGCAAACCACTCAATAGTAAAAAAGAACGGAAAGTACGATGTACAAAAAGACGTAATTTCCCTTTAGAAAGCGACATTATTAGCAATGTATTTCTTACGGATCCTCGCTCTCCTATGTCCCCACTCCCCCAAAAAAGATCCCCAAACTAAGACAAAATGAGAGGAAATGGGGAGTGAATGTAGAACAGAAAAAATAAAACTGGATTTAACTGGAACATGCTCTAATCTTTAGTTTATTTCTGGTTAAAAATATAGCAATCCAGTGCAGTGTAGTAAAGAAATCTGCTTGAAAGGTAGCAGAGAAACAGCTAAACATAAGCAAAGCAAGGCAGAGTCCATAGCCGGGCTGTGCCCGGGACGGCTGTGGAAGCTCACGGTTAGGGCCGTCCCAGGCGTGAGCTCAGAGGCCTGGGTATGGACGTGGCCGTGGCCCACAGACACGTCCATACACACAGGCCAGGGCTGGCTCCAGCACTAGGACCACGGGGCGCCCAAACATTCCGGAACCTGGTTCTTTCATTGGATGATGGAGCGACAGTGGTAGAGAAGGCAGAACTGACTGAAACCAGTTACGTGGGGGTGGGGGGCAGAGGAACAGGCTACGATTGCTCAGGAATTTTTAAGCCACTGGGTTTTGCCCACATTCCTGTCCTGGGACCAGACCAGCTCCGGTGCATGAACGAGGCATCTGGAAGGAGTGTGCATATCTGGGGGTGGGGAGTGGAGGCCGGCACAGGACAAAGATGTGAAAACCCGTGTGCTTAGTGACCGTGAGAGGAGGATGTCCCTGCCATGACGTCTGACGGGGCGAGGGAGCCCGGAGACACCTCCTGCACGCCAAGTGTGGAGGTGCCACACTCGGAACCAGCTGTGCTAAGTGAGCCCACAAGGCTCCCTGCCCTTTGCCCATCCACAGCCCTGCTTCCTGGGGGTCAGGGCGGGGGTGGGGGGAGCGGTGGGGGGCAGACTGGAGGGAACATAAGGACTTTGCTTTCAGACTCTGTGGGGAGTGAGCCTCGCCGTGAAGGCCAGAGGGAGCAGAGGGCGGGGTGTGGCGTTACGGGGGGGGGCGGGGAGAGAAGAGGCGGCAGGTCCCTGCTTCCTCAAGTACACAGCACAGATTCAAAACAGAGGCCCAGGCTCCTGCCAGTGGGGACGGCACGCCCTCTTCCCCCTGCTGCACGCCCGTAAGCATCCCCTGCTCGCTCCTCCGGGACCCAGAGGAAAAGCAGAGGTAGCTGACTTCCCGCACTCAGCCTCCCAGTGGCTGCTTCCCCTTCGGCCGGGCACAGCTGGACACGCGGGGATCTTCCTCCGGCTGCCTCCTTCTCCAGTCCCAGGCGGGGTGTGATGGCGGCGAGGACCGTGGCCGTTTGAGTTTGTGGCCATTGATTTGCTGGGATCCCTTTCCTTCCACACCAAGCTGGAGGGTCGGCGTGCTGGCCTCCTTCTGCCATGCCACACAGCATCGTGTTATACAAGCAAAGAATTTTGGCTAAAATCCAAAAAACATTACCCAGAAAAAAAGGCAAACTGTGAGTAATACCCAATCATGTTGTTCTGTGAAAAGACTCGGAAGTGGTTGTTGGGCCGTCCGAGTTATGATCCTTCCCTTTTGTTGTGGGTTACGTCCCTTCTGTACACCAACCGTTGTTTTTGCTAACGTTACATCTCATCAGATGAAAAAGTTAATAAACAAAATGGCGACTCCAATGTTGAGCAAGATCACCATGGCCACCAGGATGGGAGCCGAGCCCTGCAATGGGAGGAGGACAGGAGAGGTGAGCCCGCGCCCAGCCTGCCCCTGCCCCCCCACCCCCTCCCCAAACCAGGAGCACCGAGAGGGCGGCTGGGGGGTGGCCCAAGTCTAGTAGAGGGTCCTCTTGCTTCTTGGGCTGCAGTGACTGTTCCTGGAATGCCCTCCCAGCGCCAGGTCACTGTAAGTAAATGTCCTCTGCAGCTGGGACAAAATATTGGCCCTGGGATTCCTGATGTGGCCCATCCAGAACGGCTTCAGCCTGAGGCCCCAAACCCGGTGATGTCCAAGCCCTCGAGCTGGCTTCCCAGCAAACCGCTCCTTCCTGTCAGCTGCTCAGCTCTGTGCCTAGTGCTGTCCTGTGCAGCCTCGGGCTGCCTCCAGGCCTTTCCTGCCCCTGGAGCAGAGGCCCCAGTGCCCCAGCCTCCCCTCCCTGGGGCCGGCTGTCCTTGGAGCCTCGGTGCTGAGGGCTGCAGAGGCCACTCTTACACGAGGGGCACCAGCAGAATACATACAAGTGTCCGCTGCAGGCCAGCTGCTTGCTCGCACCTCCCCCCGGGAGCTTCATCTTACAGCACCAACATAGTTAAGGAGGCCACGTGTAGAATCTCCTTCCACATCTCCCACCCGTGTCCATCCAGCTTCCTACCATAACCACACGCGCACCGTGCACACATGTGCGCGCATGGGTACACACACCCAGAGGCGTGCAAATGTTTCTGGCTGCTGGGACAGGGATCAGAGCTGTGAGTACAAGCTAGTGTTCCCCCAGCGGGCGCTCATAGGGCCGAGCTCCAGTGGGATCTGGGCACAGGGAAGCAGGAGCATTTAGGAACCAGCCCACCCAGAAGATGCTCACAGTGGTTTCAAGGGGAAGGCACCTGCCCCCGAAAGCATCTCTTCCAAGGAGCACAGGGCCCTGACCTGCCAGACAATGCGTTCCTCCAGGGGACAGGCATGGACACTGACCCTGCCTGGCCGCACTGCTGGGTCCCAGAGGTGTCCGAGGCTCTGCGTGCCCCATGGAGCAGGTACACGGCACGCCAGCAGCAGGGGAACAGGCCCTCGTGGGCTGATGCTGCAGGTTCCAGAGTGGAGCGTATGGGGGCATGAGCTCCGGGGTGGGGCGGAGAAGCTGTCTGACCAGGGGCGCAGGACATGTCTGCCCCTGGGAGGCAGCCTCCAGGTGGAGGGTCCCAGAAGGTCCCTCCTGTGTGTGAGAACCCACCTGGCCCCACACCATCCAGCCCAGGGGCCTCCGTTATCCTTCAAACTGCCTGCCGTGGGAGGCATGCTCATACGAGGACCCAGGAGTGAGCCCCAGTGTCCCCCACTGGCCATGGTGACCTGGATTGCAGCCGCAACCCACGTGTCAGATCCCGAGGTGGGTGAGCCAGAGAGCAAGCATCCTCAGGCTACGTGGGAAGAACTAGAGCTCTGGGAGGGAGGGAAGCCTTGGCGTGGACGGCCTTCACAAAGTTTTATCCTGTCCATCTTGCCCCTGAGAGCGGGCTTCGTGGGAGGACCCCAGCGCCTGCCCCCATGTAAAAGGTGTGGCCTGGACACAACAGTCCTGAGCCAGTCCCCGGCCCCATGCCCCAGCGGCTCTGGCTGACCCTGACCCCAGGACCCAGGACCGTCCATGAACCCAGTGATAGCAAGGGCTCCTCACCAGAGCAGGGGAGGACCCTCCCGGGCCGGGGGGAAAGACGGGCTCCCGCTACGGCCCAGTTTCTTTTGGGAGCTTCGCTGCTAGGATCGAGCCTGGGAGGAGTAACCCTCTCTGGGCTCTAAAGGAGAGGGGACCCCGTCGCCCACAGAGGCTTCCTGTGTGGAGGGTCCCTTTCCTGGGGAAGGAACCGCCACCCGTGCGCAGAGCCGCCCCTCAGCTGAAGGTGGCAGGGCACTGCCTGCCCCCATCGCCAGTGGCCGGCGACCACTCACCGTGCTGGACTTGAGCTCGTCCCCGTTCTCCTCGTCCGACTCGGGTGCGACGGGTGAGGACTTCTGGGGTGGGGAGAAGGCCAAGTCCCAGCGCAGCAGCCGGGGCTCAGCCCGGTCCCCCAGCCGCAGGCTCTCCAGCCTCTGTACCGCGGGCTCCGTGCAGGGGGCCGGCCTGGCGCTGTCCTTGTTCTGGGACTTGGACCGCAGTCTCTGTGCCCCGAAGCCCCGGTCGTCGGCGCGGTGGTCCTCCCCCAGGCCCCGGCAGGCCACCCCCTTGCTATAGCGTCTCTTTTGGGGGTGGGCCTCCTGCACGTACGCGTCCATCCTCAGCAGAGGCTTCATCTCCATCTCGTAGTTGCTCAGCTTCTCCTCATCCAGCTCCAGCAGCTTGGTGCCCCCGGAGCTGGGATTGCCTGCGCGGTGGTGGGAAGTCCAGGAGAACGTAGGGGGCGACTCCGTCCGCCGCTCCCGGGACTTGGGGTTGCTGGGCTGCTTGTGGCCCGAGCCCCGGCAGCGGAAGTCATCCGCGGGCTGACCGCTCCAGAGGGCGCTGCCGCGGATGCCCCTGGGGCCACCGACCTTCTCCTCACCCCAGCTGTTGCGGGCATAGTCCCCTCCCCGGCCCTCCAGGAGCATCTGGATGTCCCCGCCTCGCTCCTCGTCCACCGAGACCTGCCGGGAGAAGTGGGCAACCTTGTTCCGTGAGGCAGGGGCCGGGGGCGGGGTGGCCGTGGGACTGGCGGGGAAGCTCTGCAGGGGGCTGTCGTCGGGGGTCAGGTCCGAGGGGGTGGTGCCTTTGCGGTACAGCTCGGGGCTCTCCTGCTGCAGGGGCGTCCCCGTGGAGGCCACCTCGATGTCACTGCTGGAAATCGGGTGCTTCGGCCGCTGGTACTCGAGCCCTTTATGGAGGGGCAGGAAGCACAGAGGTTGGGTTACTCAGACCCTCTATGTCTTGCGAGGCCTGATCTCACCAGAAGACCGCGGGAGACCAGGACTGGACCTGGGCCATGTGGGGCAGCGGCCAGGGCTAGGGCACGCGCCGTTCGCCAGTGGGGTGCGGGCACAGTGGTTCCCAGAGCCCTTTTGTAGAACCCCAAGCCCCCCACCCGACAAGCATTTGGGGGGTGACCAGGTCCCGAGGGTGCAGCGATGGACAGAGGCTCTGGGCCGCGCCGCCCCCCACCCCGGCTACACAAGAGCCCCAAGGCTCAGCATGCAAGTGCAGGGGGCGGCCTGCTCCGTGCTCTCAGGTCCCCTGTCCCCCACCCCAGGTTCCTCTGTAAGGTGGAAGGAAGCCTCTTGCATTAGGTGGCCTTCTACAGGGTGCAGTATGTGAGGACAGGAGTGGTCTCCCCTCTCCACTTCTCTGCTGGGGCAGGAAGGGCCACAGGAGCCGTGGCCTCCACGGGCTGGCAGGGGCCGGGCCCAGCCCTCCACTTATGCAGGAGGAGAAGTGTGCCATGCTGTTTCTGCTGCACACGTGGAGGCCCGAGGCTCCCGGTCTTGCCTCTGGGGCTTTGGACATGGGGCAGTGAGCGGCACGAGGCTGAGCTTTGGACACCAAACAGTCGTCATGGCTGGTCCACGGAGGGGTGACCAAGGGAGGCCCCCTGGGGTCCTGAGGGGTAGGGATCTCGGACCTGTGAGTGCTGGCCTAAGTGGTCAACCCCCTCCACCCCCCAAATCCATGCACACCCCAGCTGGCACGTGAGGCCAGGGGGTGGGGATGGCAGTGCACCCCTTCAAGCACAGGGGGTCTGAAGCACTGGGTGCCCTACCACAGGAGGCCAGGGATCACGGCCCTGACCTGGCCTGCTTGTGCCGGGGACGTCCTCGGGGCCCAGGGAGCCCGGACACCATGCCTGTGGGCAGGCCAAGAGGCTGCTGGTCCGGCTGCCTTGTGAACCCCATGCACCGGGGGAGGCCCGTGCTGCCGGCCGCGAGCTGGTTCCAGAGCACCAGCCCTTCCTGGAGGCGTCCCTCTCACAACCAGGGTAGATGGTGCAGTGTCGGCACCTGGACTCCCCCCACCTGTGCTCCGTCGTGGGTCCTGGGGGGGCCAAGGCCACTCAGGCCCTACTGCCTCCCGGAAGCAGGTCTGGTCTCTCTGGGCTGCCCAGAAGGCCAGACCCGCTCCCAGCAAGGCCTAGAGCCATGGGCTCCAGGAGAGTTTGGGGTGGTCTGGGAATAGCGGCTTCCGCTCACTCCCGGGTCCTAACCTGCCATGGCTCTGGAGCTTCCAGGGGTGGAGGAAGCTTCTGGGGGCAGGGGGAGCGGGAGATGGGGCAGCTAGTCCAGCCTGAGGGCTCAGCAGCCCCATCACTGACCCCAGCTCCAGGCCGCCTCCTGGCCCCGAGCTGCGTCTAGGCTCACCGGGCTAGACACGGCTGTGGCCCGGCCTCCCCAAGGGACGGAGGAGGGCCACGCATCTGGCTGCCGTGCAGTGGCTTCCAGCTCCTCCCCATGCGAGAGCTGCGCTTTCCCACCGGCCAGCCCCCACGAGTCCCCTGCGACGGTTCCCACGGTGTAGACTGAAGCCTCGGTCCGCAGCTGGCCTGATAGCCCCCCAACTGGACAGAGTGGTTCCACAAGAAAGGTCTAGAACCCCAGGAGCAGGAAGGGCAGGGAGAGCGCGCGGACGGCGGAGAGCAGGAGTGCGCCGGGATGCGGACGCGGAAGCTGTGGGCCGCAGCCCCGCGCACGGACGCCCCCGGGGGGATGCGCACTCACCATTTTCGCGGTGCTGGAAGGAAGGCGAGAACTCTTTGGCAGTGATCCTGGCGATGCGTGCTTCCTCCTGGGCCTTCTGTGCTGCAGTGAGGGCGGCCTCAGCCTTGGCCCGGGAGTGGGAGGTCCTGGCAGGGGGAGAGGGGGAGGGCTGGTCAGGGCTCTGGCAGTAAGGCGGAGGGTCAGTGGCCTCCAGACCTCACGCATGCGTGCATTCATCCAGCCACCATACCACCCCCCCATAGCGGGCCCGCGTGCCTGCCACTGCCTCGGGCCAGGGCGCACCCCAGCGAGGCCAGAACCTGGCCTAGGACGGATGTCTGTGCCTGAAGGACGGCTCTCAGCCCGGGCGGGCACCAGGTCCTGCTGAAGGAGCCTCCCTCCTGCCCGGGGTCGTGTCCACACGCTAGAGGACAAAGCACACAGCCATCCCATCTCTGAGCCTCCAGACACAAGCAGGAGCTTGATCCATGCTGGTCTGCCCAGGAAGGAGGAGTTGGGGGGCAGCTGTGATGCCTGGACCAGTTGGCTGTCAGAAGGTCCAAGGGCAGAAGGAACCAAACCTCCCTTCCCCGGGATGAGGCTTGGCTCCAGGCCCAGGGTGGGCACCGGCTGGCCGTGCTGGACACCGTGTCCGAGCCACACCTGCCTCCCAGGGCAGCACCAGCCCAGCAGCCGCCGGAGGGGTCTCCAAGTCCGTCTGCCCCACTGCCCCTCACGTGGCATCTTTGGGGCTCCGGGAAAGGAGGCTGGGGTGTGCGGGGGCTGATGGACTGGGGCTGGCCCCTGGCCCCTCTGGAAGCTGCTCACACTAGCCCCGTATGTGTGGGGGAGACCAGCGCGGAGTCGGAGAGGTTTCTCCAAGTCCGCATGAGGCAGGGTCTCCAGGTGCTGAGAGAAATCACGTCCGTGTCCCACGGGCTCAGCCCAGGTCCCTGCGCTCTTAGCCTGGGGTGTCCGCCACATGCAGCCCAGGCACGGCCCTTCCGGGGGGGTCACGTGCTTCTCGGTGACTTAGTTTCCCCCCTTGGTCCCACGGACTCCGGCCCCAGTGACCTGCATGGGGCCTGAAGTCCCTAAGCTCAGGCCTGACGTGGGAGGCACGTGCCCACAGCCCTGCCCGGAGGATGCCACACCCCAGTGAGGACGCTGCCAGCAGGACCACCCCATGGTGTCTCTGTGCCGAGGCCCCCACGAGACACCCCTCCTCTGACAGGGCTAGACGGGGTGCCCGACGCAGCACAGCCCCAGGCGTCCGTGCCTTTCACCGGCCTGGCTTCCTGGCTCCAGAGCAGTGCATCCCAACCTGAGACACCAACGTGCCGTGGCCTGTCCCTGAGAGCGGCAGCCTGTCACCAATGATACGTCACTTGACAAACGGTCACTGCTGCCTGGGGACCCTTCCCCGAGTGCCGGGGGCTGCCAGGAGCCCCGGGGGAGCCGCTTCTGCCACACCCTGCCCAGCCTCTGGGCTGCAGCCCTGGCCCCCGACATTCCGCTCCCAAGTGCCCTGCACGGCGTTCTGCCCCAGCCGCGTCCATGGCCTTCACCGGACCGTGGCGCCCCGGAGCTCAGACGCGCGGCCTGACACAGAGGGACAAAGGAGGCCCAGCCGGGCAGCCCGGCCCAGGGAGGAGGGGTGCTCTTGCGGACGGCGCGTTCTCGACATGCGCCCGGACCAGAGCAGCGGCTGCACATGGCTCTGGGGCGACGATACGGATTTCCCCAGAATGTTCCGTAGGTTGGTTCGGTTTGCCCTCATGACCGTTTTCTCAAGCTATACCTCCCATGCCATACAGTTCACCCGTTTAAGGTCCACACTGCAGTGGTTTTCAGGTTCTCCTCCTGAGAAACTCTCCTCCTAGAACGCCTTCAGTGCCCCAAGACCCCACACCCTTTATCTCCAGTGACCCCTGTGCCCGAGCCCTCCCCATAGCCCTCTCCGTCAGTGGGCCTGCTCCAACTCTGACCAAGCACGTCCTCCAGGCTGTGCAACAAGTATTTCCGTCTGGTTCCAGGACGTTTCCATCACCCCGAAGGAGGCCCGTCCCCGTGAGCAGTCCCTCCCCACTGCCACCCTGCCCCAGCGTGGGGGCTTCTCCGAGACCATCTGGGGTTGATGAAGCACCCGCCACGGTCACGCGCCCGACCGCGCGCGGCTGCTGCTTCCAACACTGGCACCACCCATCCTGGGACCGAGGGTCCTCAGCTGGCCAACGCGCCTGTCTGGCCAGGGCCCTCCAGTGAGCGGCTGCCCCGTGGGCTTGTTCAGCAGCAGACCAGACGCAGGACGGCAGCTGAGCTGAGCGTCTCACACACAGGGTGCCGGGGGCTCGAGCTCCCTGGAGGCCAGGCCAAGCAGGGGAACGTCCCGGATGCCATTCAGGACACCCGTGAGACAAACCCGGGGCTCAGGAGAGGGACGGCCAGGCTCTCGACCTGGAAGAACCTCACAGGGGTCTCGGGCTTCCCGGCAAGACCCTCGATGCAGGCTGCTGGGGCCGTGCATGGTGAGTCCAGGGAAAACGATCCGAAGACCAGCGTCGACGGTCTGGTACTCTTAGGCGGTGGTTCCTTCTCCAAGTTGAACTTGGATGGCTTAGGGCAGGCACACACCCCCTGCGCAGACCCCTCCCCGAGAACGTTCCTGACAGTTAACGCCGACCAGGTGAATATGAGCAAATGTGGAGCCCCATCAGCTCTGGACCAAGAGACGGCACAGGCCACCCGCCAGAGCCGGGTGGCACAGAGCGGCCAGTAGAGGAAATGCCATGGTGGGTAACGGGCAGCTACGGACGGCTGTTGAGGAGGAGCGGCCAGAGTGTTTGGAGCGACAGCCAGCCAAGCGCACCGGATCAGACGAGGCTGCTCTCAGGATGAAGTTGCAGGAAGAGATGAGGGACGTTCTGTGTTGGTTAAAGCAGCGACTTTGAGGTTTCCTCATTCGGGAGCAACGTGAGTGCGCGTTTGTCATACAAGAGCCCACCTCGCAGGCCTCCGCTTAAATCCCCCCATGTCGGGCTAGCGGGCATCGTGTGGAAGCATTTCTGCACACACGTGGGCCCCGACGGCATGTGTGAACACGTGGGAGCCACGCCCTCCAGGTCCTCCGTCCCCACCAGACATGTGGCTTGACCATGGCAACCTCTCCCACAGGGGAACCTCCCTAAGAGGCTCCCATCTGTTTCTGTCCTAAATCCCTGTAAACAAAGTCCCAAGGTCCCCACCCCCGCCTTCTCCGGGGGAGACAGCTGCTGCCAGGGAGGGTCCACGGGACACCGCATCCCTGGGCAACGTCTGCGCCTCGCTGGTGTGGCCTGGGCCCCGACGGACAGCGAGAGCCTGGTCCCCACCTTCACACTCCCCACGGGCGCCCGGCCTCGAGCCTGGAGACTCTGCGGCTGTCCTCCAGGCCGCACGGTGGGGTGTGCGCCCCCTGCCCCCCATGGGACCCTCCCATGGTGGACACGCTCCCGGAGAGCAGGGCGTGCCCACCCCTGGAGGAGCCGCTGCTTGGTTTCCACATCTTCGCTTAGTAAAAATACCACAAACGTTAATTCACCAACATCGTACGTGTATTTACATACATACGTTCACACATAGAGAAAGAGAATGCGCTGTGCCAACCCGAAAATAAAATTGAATCAAGAAGAGCGCATTTAATAGAGAAGAAAACCTCCCAGCACATCACGAGGGCTGACGTTGAATGAGACTCACAGCCAGGCCGGCAGTCAAGCTCTCCGGCTGAGACCCCCAGCCCCCCACAACCGGCGCGGGGACGCAGCGGGACGGTGGGCAGGAAGCAGCGCCCCCCACCCCCGCTGCCCCAGGCTCCCTCCCGCACGCAGACCACTCGGGACCCAGGCGCGCCAGCCCAGGGGCGGAGAGGCCCACAACAGGACGTGGGGTGACCTGCCCGTGTCCGCCCCCCACTTCCACCATGGCACCTGTATTGGACTGGTGACCCCCTCCCGCCCCTGCCCACCTGGAACCCGGGACTGCGACCTTCCTGGGAAATAGGGGCTTTGCGAGGTGTGGCCCCACCGGATGTCCTGGCTGCCCTGGAAACCTGCATTCGCAGTACTCCCAGATGATGCTGCTGGTGGTCCAGGGACCTTGCTCTGAGAACCACTGTGCCAAAAGCTGGAGACCCTAGACTCTGCTCCCTGACCTCGGCCCACTCCCCCGCCTACCCACCCCCCGCCTATGGCTGTTCCACATCCAGTCCTCCTTCGCGGATGGTACCCACCTTCTGTCCCCCGTGTACCTGACCAGCGGCCCACTCCCACACCCTGGATTGAGGGCATCCTGCCCCCAGCACCATCCCAGACCCAGAGAGGTGGGGGCGTGTGACCCAGGATGGGCTTCCCAGCTCGTGGGTCTCCAGCCGTGCCAGACCCTCCCCACCCAAGTCAGAATGTGGTTTTCTTCACTGTTCCTTGTTACTGCTTGAGGGCAGGTCTTCCCGCAATGAAGGCCCCCATGCCCTATCTCAGGTCCCCCTAGGATGTCGCCGTGGGGCACCCAGCTGTCCCCAGCGCTGGTAACTGAGGAGCTAAAGTGGGCCTCGGTGGGGGCTAGGGGTGCCCGGGTGAGGTTCATGTGGGTACACAGAGGTGGGCCAAGGGGGCCAGCCCTTAGCCCGTCCCCTCCTGGCTGGCGCCCTGGACAGGGGTCAGGGGTCTTACACATTGCAACAGGACACCTGCCTTGTGTTCCAGAGGGCTCATTTTCACATCCAGAACAGACGGGGACACTGAGGCACAGAAATACGGGCTTCCACACGCTTCAATGATCTGGCCTGATGATCCTAGTTCTCCTCCAGCTCAAAAAGGTACCAGGAGTCTCTGATAAGTGACTCAGGCCGCCACCTTCCTAGTGCATCTGCTTTGGGAAGGGGCCTGGAGGGGATGAACAGCATCCCCCCCTCCCGAATTCACGTCCATCCGGCGCTGATGAATGTGACCTTATCTGGAAAAAAGGTCTTTGCAGATGTATTTAGCTCACACAAGGTCCTACTGGATTAGAGGGGCCCTGAGTCCCATGACTGGTGTCCCTATAAGAAGAGGGGCCCTGACCCACAGTGGAGGAGGCCACGTGAGGACAGAGGCGGAGACGGACGAATGGG